TGTGTTCTTTCAGCAGCATGCACCACTTCTTTCCTGCCACTCCTTTGCAATAGTCAGTGCTAGACTTGGATCTGACCACAGGAAGTCAGTTTGGCCAAGGGGCCACAGTCACGTCCTCCTGTACAATGTGCTCCAGGGCTCTAACCAGGGCTGAGCTGCTCCTCCTCACTGTCGCCTGGCAACAGCTGCTGTGGGGAGCATTCTGTCTGCTCCCATCCTTGTCTTGGCATCATGAAGTCGATGTGTTACTCCTTGATTTGTACGTTGCATGTGTCTTTCTCTTCAGGCTTTCATGCTCCTTGAGAGGAATTCTCGTCCTTGCTGGTCAGGCTGAGGCATCTCAGAGGCACTCAGGACATGCCTTGCAGTGGACTTAGTTTCTTCTTGGCCTGAGCCTGGCCCCAGAGAACCCATCTGTGGGCCCATGTGCTCGGCGATTTGGAATCTAGCTTGATTCTCGGAACCTCAAACACCTTCTTGCTGGGCTCTCTAAATACATTTCTTGACACTTCAAATTAATCTTTAATTAAGTCATTCACAGGATTTTTTTTTTCCTCTTGGTATATTACTTGACTTGAAAATTTTATGATGTTTCCAGGATTTGTAAACAGGAAGAGAACTGCCAGAATGATTGCAAAACAGTTTTTTTTTTTTTCTGAGTGGCATCTTTTCATTGATTTCTTGGAGGCTCCTTACATTAGTTTTAAAAATCACTGTAAGTGCATGGATTTTGGAAAGGCTCACAGGGCTATTCTAAGGGAAAAAGGAGGTAACAGACAGCAAAGGGTTTGCTAAACCTCCTGCAGACATAAACCATGGTGTGGTATACATGGAGACAGCGCCTAAACTTGCTTGGGGCCAGACCTCGCCCTCTTAATGTCCAAGTGGTCCCCGTCCCCAGACTAAGCAAACCAGGACCAAACTATTCCCCCAAAGAAATTATTTTCTCTACTTTCAAACGTTGCAATTGGGATACACATTTTCAAAATTAGGGCTTTATAGATTTTTTTTAGCACTAATCCAACTGCAAGGCCATTGGCAGTTAGCGCTGCCTACCTAATTCAGCACTTGCCAGCTGCCACCTGGCCAAGCGCCACTGCGGACAGGGTTCAGTGAGATGTCCCTTTTTTTGCTTCCTATGTACATTGGTTTGTGTCAGGCACTGATGTCTGGGTTTGTGAAAATACATGCGAGCAACGGGGGCCGAGAAGCAAGCCGTTTTAGAACATTAGGAAGAAATTCACACATGTTTCACCATTGCTAGCCACTGCTTGCTTTCTGATGGATGGCAAGTTCATCACAGAAAGTTCCAAGGAGAAAGAAGGAAGGGTGGAGTCTTGTGTTCAACTTAGGAAAACAGCGGACAGCTGACTGATTGCAGGTCTAGCGTGTGTGTCACAAATGGGTATTACAAAAAACCAGAGTCTTTAAACTCATTGCCTTTTCATTATGCAACACAAATGAACAACAGAAAACAACACTGCCTGCACAATGTGTGATAGCTAAACTTGGAAACAGCCAAAATGCCCATCACCTGAGGAACGGATGAAAAAGATGCGGTATTTTTATACAATGGAGTATTACTCAGCTATAAAGAATGATAAACTGAAAGCCTTTATATTTAAGTGGATGCCACTTGAAGATATATTCATAAGTGAAATAAACCAGACTGACATGTATGGTCTCCCTAGTGTAAGAACTCAAAAGAAGAAATAAAAATGGAAAGGTATAGCACAATTAAAAGGAAAGCATAGGTTGGGGAGATGGCTCAGTGGAATAAACGCTTCCATTGCAAGTGCAAGGGGCTGAGTTCAATCCCTGGTTCCGAACCAAAAAAAAAAAAAAAAAAAAAACGAAAGTGAAACCTTAAGTATTAGACAATGAAGAGAGGGCAAGGAGAAAAGCTAGGAAACATGACAGGGGCAAAACCATACATTTATATGCACAAGATGGTTAAGGCAATGATCCAGAGAATCTTCAGCAGGTTTTTGAAACTAGCAGTTAATTGGAAGGATTCTCACCCTGACTAACTATATATGCTGATACTAGTGAACTAAGGAACTGCACTGAAGATAGCAGTGTGTAATACTAGGGTCATGCTTGGAAAGCCTGTCATTCTGGTCTTCTAGATACATACTGTTTGTCATGTCATACCAATTACTGCCATACTGTCTCTCAAGTAAATGTTTGTTTAAAAAAAGGGTAACAAATGAAAACAAGAGACAAGAAACAAAAATGTCATAGGACTGTCCTGCTACAATGCTGTATATGGTTAAATTTCTAAATTTCTGTGTAAAAATATGTAATTGTTGATTCCATTAAAAATATTTTTATTTTTTCTTTTTTTCCTTCACATTCTGTAGGGATTTAAAGTTTAACGTATCAATACTTGATGGAAAATACCTGTTCCAGGCTATATGTAAGATGTCCGATATTCAAACAGATAGTGAGGCTAAGCTCAACTGTCTATGCTATAGGGTGATAATATCATTAAGCTTCTCTTCTGGAGGGTTAACAACTTAAGTTTGCAGATGAAAAATTAGAGAAAAAGAAAGGCTACAAGGACAGCCAACATTTTGGCTCTAGCCTTTCAAGGTCAGTGAGGACTCAGGACATAAGAGAACCTGTACTGTGACATCCCGTAATTTAGTGATGTCCCAAATTTTCTGATCAAGAAGATTATGGGGCCACAGAGGAAAGTGATCGATGATGTAGAGTGTGCCTAAGAGAGTCACATGGAGAGAAAACATTCTCTCAGGCTTTCACAGAGAGCAAATTGGTCGAACAATGGTCGTGACTCATTCACATGGCTGACACTGACAAAAGATCTACAAACTGAAGTACAGGGTTTCAGGGTAAATCTTGAGGGGATTTGACTGACCTTGTCAGATACAAAAGTTACATTTCTTGTTATGTAGGGCTTGTTTTATCTTGGTCTTAACCATCCAGCAGAAAAAGTATAATAACAAGGTATGAAAAGTAAAGCCATAAGGGCTGGGGAGATGGCTCAGTGGAATAAGTGATACCCTGGCAAGCGCAGGGTCCTGAGGTCAATCCCGGTTCCGAAAAAAAAAAAAAAAAAAAGTAAAGCCATATTAATATGCTGAGCTATAAAAGGCTCAAGTCAACAACTTCTGACATTTCCAGTCCTACGAATAACCCACTACTATTATGGACTACTGGACTACCTTGGATTATTTTGCTGAATTCATGCACTGACAATATTTAAATGGTAATGTAATACCCATCTCTGACAGGACTAGGCAGAGAAGGAGGATACAAACAAGGGACCATTTTGTATCTGTGTATACAAAGTGGTTGGGATAGATATATGGCTACTTTCTCTTAATTCAATGAGAAGAAAGATTCGTATTAATAGTGTTTGGACAGGATATCATGTCTGCATCTTGCAGTATGAATAACCACTATGAAGACAACAATATGCAATGTATTAATTATTGAAACTGTCCTATTAATTGGTTTTGAAACTGTCTCATTGCTATTTGTTTTTCAATTAAATTAATTTGAGAAAAAGAAAGCAACACTGCTAATTTAACTTGGTGCTGGTAATTGAGCCCAGGGTCTCATACTAAGCACATGCTTTACCACTGAGCTCTTCTCCTAGCCTCCAAATGCTTTCAGATGCTATGATCTGCCTTCACTTTTAAAGCTCTATTATATCTTAACTTTGCAGGTAGCTTAGTTCTTATAAGATAAAAATCAGCATTCTTAACAGGGAGCCAGAAATCACACTCAGATTAACCATTGTGTGTTAACATAGTCATATTTTTAAAAGTTTTATTTTTTGTTTTGATTCAGGGTCTTGCTATGAAGTTTGGACTTGTAGTGATCCTCCCATCTCAGCCTCCTCGTGCTGGGATTACAGGTGTGCAACGTCACACCCGGTGTTGGGACAGGGAGCACAGCATGTGGTACCCGGGATCTAGCACAGACCTGGCACTTGCCAGGCAGGCGCTTCAGCTGCCCAGCTATCTCCCCAGACCCAACATATTCATATTTTCAACCCAAAAGAATATATAATAACAAACTCAAAGATAAATTTTTTCCAGGGAGAATTATTTTTAGAAAACTTAAAAAAATATCCATAGTTTTTGTATGCAATACAACCTAACTTCACATTTTTCTAGAACTATTCTGCTCCTGAAACAGATAAGAAATACTTTCATGTACCAGGGCTGGCTCTATGTGATGGGTGGCTCAGCAGAGCCCAGGGCTACAGCAGCGCTGTGTTTAATGCACTTCTCTTTAGCCCTGGCCTACCACTCCTGAGAGTTCTTGCTCCATTTTTAATGATTTTTAACCCTTGCCCCTCAGGATCTCTGAATTCTTGAAGATATTTCAAGATCTTCCATAGACAGCACTGTGAAAGGTAGAATGGGTAAAGATTTGGAATCAGTAAGACTGGGTTCTGGTGGGAACATCACTCACAAACTACCACGACTCTGTGTCCTTTCACATAAAATGGCAAGATAATGCCCACCTCACTTAACTCCTAGGATTCCTGGAAGTGTCAATACCCACTTCATAAATGATAAAGCTCTCTTGTGAGGTAAATAGATGCTAGGATTATAGGTATCTTATGTAATCTAACTCTTATTAGAGGCAGATGTGCTGTATCTTGCACATCTTCTTGCTCCTTGAAGCTTGACAGACTGATCATTTGATTGTAGTAATTAACACTTTTGTGATGATCATGTTTTAGTCCCCAAGTGTGAGGTTATTTTACTGTTCAATAGTATAATATCCATCATCATTTATCTGAAGCTGAAGAAATACAGTATTGAGATAAAAGTTTGGTTTTATACTGCAAGCCAAGTTCAGACAATTCAAGAACTATACTGGGCGTCATAACTTACATTCTTACAAAGAGAAGTTTATTAAGCGTAAGTCATTCTTTCCACAGGTCTCAATGCACTGATGCCTGCACTCAGCCACATGGTGTGTGCAACAGATTCGAGTCATCAGCAGCTACCACTTACCATTGCAGACCCAACACGGCTGACTTTGATGGGGTTTCCTCTACCAGAAAGGTCCATCTGTGCTTTGTCCATCACGTATAAGCAAGCATCCAGGATGCTATCTTCAAACTGGAAAAAGGAGAAACTACTTAATGACTAGTTTTCAAGAAGGACATTCTCTGCAGAAAAACAAAATGGAGCTATAATCCAATGGAGAAAAATAGGTATTTTCCTTATAACTCCAACCTAATGGATAAAATGCGTATTTTCCTTATAATGATCTCATAATCTTTATTATGGACTGAAGGTGGAAGGAAGGGGACACCCTGTTCTCAGGAAAGTGAAGGAGAGCACAGCAGCTTGCCAGAAATGCAAGCAGAGCTGCTAGTCAGCTGGCGGGCTCCAGGGTCACAAGCAGACTTGCAGTTATTCAGGAAACTGCAAGTGAGTGCAGAGACTCCCTCCCACATACAGGTTCCAGTGCCCAAGGCACGGAGTGACCGATGGCGCAAACACTCACAACCTCAAAAGCAACACAAGTCCTTGTGTGTCCTGAAAACAAGCAGCTCTGAACAGCAGAGGGGCCTCATGGAGCGAACGGCCTCTATGGTTTCCAATTCTGGGGGAAAAGGTGGACCCTAAGGCTAAAGACAGAAAGGCCTGCAAAACATAGGTTTCCTTATCATGGGAAAAACCTTGCAGCCAGTTCCATTTTCTTAGAAAAAGCTATGACCACAGGAAATGCCAGAATTTCCTCAGAAAGATATGAAGGCCAAAATGTAATATGCAATATAAGCATTGTTTTTTCTTTTATAAAATAAAAAAGAATTTAAATAGCAAGATATGGTGCTTTTACCTATATTGTATAACACTGTAAAGGAGACTAATTCAAATACAGAAGCTATACACATTATCCATCTAAGTGCTTGCTGGAGATCATAATCCTTCTTCTTCTTCTTCTTCTTCTTCTTCTTCTTCTTCTTCTTCTTCTTCTTCTTCTTCTTCTTCTTCTTTCTTCTTCTTCTTCTTC